ACGGCATCTGTGCGTCCTCTGCGTCTAGCCGCTCCCTAGCAGTCTGCAGAGCGGCCTCTGATACGGCGACGGGCCGGCCAGCAGCCGTGGAGAAGAGCGTCGGCACAGCCACGTCCCTGAGGCCCTGCGCTGACGGCATCTGTGCGTCCTCTGCGTCTAGCCGCTCCCTAGCAGTATGCAGAGCGGCCTCTGATACGGCGACGGGCCGGCCAGCAGCCGTGGAGAAGAGCGTCGGCACAGCCACGTCCACTTGTGGCTCTTCCTGTTGTACGTTCGCTGGTGGTTGTGGCGGACATAATTCGGATCCAATTTTTGTCGCATCGTCACGGGCCCGTTTTCGAATATTGCGGAAGCACATGGCACAACGTACCCGGCCAGGAGTATTGATAAATGTGCAGTGAGTACATGCGTTGCCGGGACCCAAGCTCATGGTAGTTTTCCACCCACAGGCCGCAGCCTGCAAGGAAAAAAAAAAGAAGCAAAAAACAAGCAGACAAGAAATATTTTCTCTAGTGCTTAAACAAAGGTCTCGCAAAGGCACTTCTGTGAAGCCAGCACGAAACCGAGAATCTGCCACAACACTCACGGGGCGGAAACCGCATTAGAAACCGCCACACCAGACACGCACTAAATGGCCAAAGAAAAGGCGTAGGACAATGCAAAGACACGCACATACACATATTGTGCGTTTCATTTCAAAAGAACATACGCGGCGGGGTCAACAAACTCCATACCTTTCATGATGCTAAGAATGGCGTTCACGTAGTCCCATAGTGGCTGCTTGTATGATGCAGGCATGGTGGAGCCGCCAAGTTTGTCATAGTGAGCTAAAATAGACGGCAGCGCCAGGAAAAAGCGAAGAAGATACTCCAAAGGTAGCACCGCCGCACATTTATGTGACGATGTGGCTGGTGGAATGGCGGCCTTGTCGTTGTGGCGTCGCTTCAGCCCGTGCCGCCCCTCCGACCGCTTCTCCCACTGCACCGCCAAAAGATTAATGACGCGTCGCTCCCTCGACGAGAGGAACGAAGAGGCGCAGCACTGCTCGATGGTGTCTAGCACAAGGTTCTGACAGCAGTCGACAAAAGGCTCCGATAGTTTTGAGAGCTGCCGGGCGCATTCATGAGCGTCAAGAAGAAACGTCAGGACGGTCCTTTGGGTGGCGGTGGTGGTGAGTGGCGGGGTCCGCGGAAACTCGGGGTGCTCTACCTGCTCCAAGTGGCGCCGTAGCACCAGCAGTAGCCGCGGCGGCCAATCAATTCCCTCCATTCGCTGATAGTGGCCGCCCACCCACACGAGACAAAATGCAGGTCAAAGAGGAAGCGGAAGCCACACGCTTACCGAGGACAGAAGCAGAAAGAAGAGGACCATTACAAAAAAAAAAAAAGAGGCAAGCGATGAATTGACAACACACGCACACGCATCCAATGAGAAGGAGAGAGAAAGCAAGAATACCGATATAGCAACGGCAGCATATATATATATATATATATATATATATATATGTCTTCATATCCTCCGCAGAAGATCAACACTATTTCTTCTTCTGTCGCAGTCACTGAGAGTGTGGTTAGACAAGCAACGCAAGCCGCCCATACAGCTCGCACAATGCCTCAAGCAGACGGTTACACCGCTCCCGATCCAACGCCAACTGCGTCTCCCTCTCCTGCAGTATGATCCGAGCAGCCTTGTGATTCTCTTCGTCCTCCACACCCCGGCCGTGACGTGCCGACAACTCCGACTCACGAATGTTGAGGCCACGCGTGCGCTGTTCCACGGCAACACGCATTGCAGAGAGAGCCTCCTCTGACTTCGTGAGGCGCTGCCTCTCCTGCAGCAGCCAGTGACGCTCCTTTTCAAGCGCCGCTTCACGCTGCGCCACATCTTGCTCACGAGCGGTAATCTCTGCGTCTTTGCGTCTCCATTGTGCCGCATGCTTCTCTAATCGTGAAAGGAGATCCTCCCACTCCTTTAACACTGCTGTTGTCGTGAGAACGCCACCACCACTTATACTGTTGCTGCGGTAGATATCATCGCACTTGCGAACCCCACTGAGTGCGGCCTCGACACGCTGTTGCCAGTCATCCTGACACGGCTGCATTCCCGTGGCAAGTGCGCGCTCCAGTAGCTGTTCTTTCGCCACCAGCTCAGCCTCGTGACGCTCTAAAATACGTTCCGCCCTTTCAACAGCCTCGATACGCAACCGGTAGAGACCGGTAGTATCCATTTCGCAAAGTAATGACTTTTTTTTTTTTGGGTAGCGTTGTTCAAGTTGAATTCCGCACAGCCACACCCATGTGGCGTCAGTAGTCGATTCGCCACTCCTGCTGGGGCCGCTACCGCGCCTAACTAATGCTATCAGATAGACAACGAGGCACCCAAGTCTATAGTCCTAGCTGTCACCCGTCCCCTCAAAGTCAGCAAGTAATACGGGTGTACGATTCGAGAAGTCAAGCTGCGTCCATATATTGACGCAAAGATCAACGGAATGCCCGTTATTTCCTGAAAAGGAAGCAGGAAAACGGAAAAGGCGGGGGAAAAAAAACAATAATCTCGTCATCTGTTGTATTCCAATATATATATGTGGATATACACATGCGCAGGGTCAACAACTCTTCACTGCATTGCATGTGAGTCTACACACACCTGTTTGGAAAACTTTTCTCCGCTGGAAAAGATGCGCATCTCCCTCTTTCCCCGATTTCTTTTTTTTTTATTTTTGTTTTCGTTTTTTTTTTTTTCTATTTTTTCTCCGCCGTTTGTTTTCATTCTTCGCTCTCTTTCTCGTTGTCTTCTGTTCAGTTTTGCTTCCTGTTTCTCCTTCTCCCTCGTCGCCCCTCCTCTCATCAGATGGTACCATTCAGATCATTGGCGGCTCACGCGGCTGCACGGCAAGCCACAATGTCGCATGGCACATGGGTGGCCGCAATAAGGTAGTACCCCTGGAGCTCCATGGAGAACAACAGGGCGTAATCGTACGCGTAGTTCCGCAGCGGATTCTCCTTTTCGTGAGTAACTTTTGCATTCGACTGTGAACGCAGGTTGAGCCACTGAACGGCCTTTTGAAGGTTGTCTTTGCCAAGCCCAACAGCCGATGTAATGTTGAACTTCATCTCACGCGGCGTCACCTGGTAGACAACGGTGCACCATGAGATGTCCCAGATTCGGCTCCGCACCTCCTCCTCCCGCTTCAGTGCCCATGTGCCGGGAAGAAATGGAGGGATATCATCACCGTTATTATCGCCGCTTGCATGGTTTGTCACGGTGACCACACGCTTCAGCCACGATGCCTTCTCCGCAATCACCTCTTGTACGGTGCCATGGACGTTGCTGCTGGTAGTGTTCGCAGCGGTGGTGAACGCAACATTCCCACCCGGTAAAACCATCTGCGATAGCAGGGCCGCCCCGTTCTTGTACTCTCGGGCATATCGGCGGAACATCACACGTTTGTCACCCTGGCCAACATTGTCGCTTGCGAGGATAACGCTGTGCACCACGCAGTAGTCTGCGGGCCAGTAAATCGCCCTGCTGTTCAGCGCCTCCACCAACTCGGGCACAGACGAGAAGTGCGCTGAAACATCAAACGCCAATTCATGACTGTTTAATTTATCATTGTTCTTCAACGTGTATGTATGCGACGTCCGCCAGCGTGGCGCTGCCTGCTGCTGCTGTTGCAGTTGTTGTTGCTGCAGTTGTTGTTGCTGCTGCTGCTGTAAAAGCCGCTCAATGATGACGCTCCCACCGCTCTTCGCTGTCATGGTTCCTTTTCCAGCCGCCTCAGCGCTTAGAATGGCAGGATCCGTCATGATGGCCGGGGTGGACGTCGACGTCGGCGAGCCACGCTGGTTCCCGCTCTTCGCGCTGCGGGGCTGCGGGATGGCAATTGTCGTCGCACCACGGGACAATAGCGTGACGGTGGTAATGGCTGGCGTCGTTTTCGACGCTCCTGCGGCTGCCGACGGCGCTGCCGCCTCGTGGGTATGATGCGTCACGACAAACTTTGACGATTTCACCCAGATGGACCACTCTTGTTGCCCGCCGCCGCCGCCTTTCTCTGCAGCCTCCTCCGCGGCGTCGTTGAAGCCCCTCGCCGTGCAGACGGCGCGCAGTTCCACACTCCTCTCCGCGTTTAACACGCCTGTCGGCGAAAAGAACAAGTTTGAAACAAGCAGAAGAAGCTCCGAATTGGCAAGATGCGGGAAAAGACTCGTGCAAACCGCCATACGCTCCCAGAGCATAACGGTAGGATCAATATACAACGCGGCAATCGTCACTGAGGCACCCGCGAAGGAACGTACCTGCAGCATCATAAAGAAGCGGACAATCCCACTACTGTAGTGGCTGTTGTCGAGCAGCCTGGCGGCGTTATCAACGCTATCACAGCTGACACCAAAGCGCACAAGTGCGAGACTGCCTCGATCGCCCCCCTCCCGCGGCTCGTAGCGCACAAGATCGGTGATGCCGTACATCTTGCGCACGTAAGACGACTGCATCATCTGCTGCCGTGCCGCCAGCGTGGCGTTGTGGACAAAAACAAACGAAGGCGATGCGGCAGCCAAGGCGTTGCTGAAACTCTCCATCTCTCCCAGCGAGGAGAGCCCCCCGTTGAGGTCAATACTGCTCACCGAGAAGGCCTTCACCACGGACGTTGACGCCGCTCCCCCTGTCGTTGATGTTGACCCCGCCACCACCGCCGCTGCCGATGGCGCCGAGGAGCGTTTCTCCGTCCATGAGGGACCCTCCTCAAAGTACTTTACCTTGATAGGGATCATTTCCGCCTGTCTCTCACACACGCACACGTGCCCAGACGCTCTCTCCGCCCCCACCTACGTACTGCTGCAGAAGACAAGGACGAGGGAGGAGGAGGAGGAGGGGGGGCAAGATGAGACAACAGGGCTGGAGAACCACCACAAGAGAATGTACGCAACCACTACCAGAGTTGCGCCCTGCCAGAGGCTACCATATCCATGAAAACAAAACAAAAAAAAACGTCAAAGTCACGGCAAAAAGGCAGAGCAACTTCAATGGAAACATACCCACCCTTACTGTTCATGGAAGTATGCCACCTCCAATGACATGAATGACCGACGCCCACCCAACTCGTGCATGGGGCAGACGTTGAACCCCCCCACACAGACGCACAGGCACGGCGTCAAATAGTGCCGCTCGCCAAACAAAAAAAAAACTGCAGCGGGGCATTTATTTACCCCGCCAGAATGCCGGGAAAGACGCCTACGTGCGTCACCCCTCAGGCATCAACAATTTTTGGCACAAGTCCAACGGCATTGACCTCGCACACACACCCTCCGCATGGTGTGCGAGTCTTGTTCCGTTGCAAATCAACGAACGCATTGCAAGGCACACCGATGGCACCCACCTCGCCGTGACGCCGTCCAATCCCCGCCACTCCAAGCCTATCCAAAGGAGAGCGAGGAAGCTGCGCCGCAACGCGTCCTGACTCAAACATTGTGGGGTACGCAAGAGGGTTCCACGCTGCAATTCAGACCTCTGCGCCTTCGTTGGCTTTCCGCCACCGTCTGCTCAGCCACGCAGGGTGAAAAAATGACAAAAACACAGACACACAGGCAGAAGAAGACGGCCACCAAGCCAGTAAAAAAAAAGAAGATCCAGAGCCAACACCGCTGCCCTCTCACACATTTCTCCATCCAACTGCGTAGAAACATTTTACATACATAAGCGGGAGGTGCAGAGCGGTCACACGCTCTCCTCCAAGACTTGCTCTCGCTCATTACCTTCCATGTACATGGACGTACTGGAAATCACTGCTATCCGGTTCACACTCGTCAGCGGCAACGGGAGAAAAAAAAGACTTCTTATTCTCCTTATAGGACGCCCAGAGCCGCTTTTTTCGAGAGAGCCGAAGCTTGTCCCGCGTGGTGCCTGCGTAGTGTTCCAGCTCCGTCCGCTCCTGAAGCCGTGACGCCAGCAGAAGCAAACACCGGCGACGCTGCTCTGCATAAAAAGCGGTTAACGCTCTGTTCCTCGTTGCCCACAAAATATGCGGCACACTCCGCGTCTCCGCACGTCGCCGCCCCTCTGCGGTCAGTTCTCTCGCCACCACACTCACCACATATGGCTGGCGGCAGCACGCGTCAAGGGGTATCTGTCCCGACCTCATTTGCAGATCTCTTCGTTCCCGTACCCGACGTGCCAGCTGCAGCCGCTGCTCCTCATGCAGCCCGCGAAGCACGAGCACGTGCTCCTCATCGCTACTGAGCGATGACAAGCACGTGCTGCTGCTCTGAGAAGAGTTGCTTGCACCCGCCACTGTAGACGAGTTCGCACTCGGCACGGCGCCCATAGCGGACTTGTACTGCCAGCTATTCGGTAAAATCTCAAAGGCATCCGGAAACGTTATGGTGTCATACGGTTGTCCCTCATGCAACTGTTCCACAAACACGAAGGGAGACCTGGTGGCCAGCCCGGCATCCGGCGTCATACGACAAGGCAGAGGCGGAGAGACCCCTCGCTGGCAGCAAAAGACACTACTCGCACACACGAAAAAGCTTAACGAAAAAAAAAGGAAGAAACAAACGAAAAGAGCAATAAAAAAAAAGAAAAAAAACTTACCAAAAGGAAAAAAAAAAAGGAGAGCCCCGCAGGCGGAAGAAGCAGCAGCCGCAGCGCAACGTGCAGAAACGCCACAAACCAACTAGCAGCGAAAACAACAAAAAGAAAAAATATAGTAATACTTTATTTTATTTTATTACTTTTATTATGTAATCAACGCGAAAGGCGTTTGAATTGTTCTTCAATCGTTAGCCTCCTTCAGCATCGCACGTGGAGCTTCATCATTCTTCCGTGTGGGCCGCATCCGCTCCATGTTTTCAGCGTCGTCAAAAAAAAAAAAGTGGAAGTTGCAGCTGAGCGCTACGTCCAAATCCGTTTCCTCCACCAAGACGTGGTCAAGGCCAAGAAACTGTGATCTGTGGCTTGCTGAACACATCCCACGACATGCCCAAAAGCAACTTCGAAAACCGACTCAAAAAACACACACAATAATAAAAGCAAAAAATGTGTCAAGCTTACGAGAGCATAAGAAGAAAATCCTACAGTCTTCTAAAACAAGAACATACAACACAAAAAGGCTACCAACAAACCCCCCACAACAACACCCAATAAAGTTTTCCTTCCTATTTTTTTCACCTTCTTCTCCTCTCATCCCACCGGCCCCCTTCTTTGTTTTTGTTTTTATGTTTTTTTTTCTTTTTTGCTTCGCTCTCTTTTGCTACTCCTATACCACGTACGTAATCTTAAACCCCAAATCATAGAAACGCACACGTTGGCAGCGCAGCCCGTATTCTACTCCTTGTCGTCCAGCACGGCGATACCGGGGAGGACTTTGCCTTCCAGCAGCTCCAGCGACGCCCCACCACCGGTCGACACGTGCGACATGCGTGGGGCCTCGCCACTCAGCTCCGCCGCACTCGCGCTGTCACCGCCGCCAATAATGCTCATCAGCCCCAGTTCCTGCGTGCTTTCGCCCATCGCCTTCGCGATCGCAAAGGTGCCTTTCGAGTACGGCTCCATCTCAAAAACACCCATCGGGCCATTCCAGATCGCGCTCTTGCATTTCCGTACAACCTCAACGTACTTCTCAATCGTCTTGGGGCCGATATCCAACGCCATGTAGCCGTCAGGAATGTCCACCCCCTCCGTGACCAAAGGCGACTCTACAGCCTTGAACTCCGTGTGGCACACGTGGTCCACGGGTAGCATCAGCGTCACCTTGCGATCCTCCGCCTTCTTCAACAGC